GAATTTATACTCTCCACCTAGCGTGGAGCCAATCTGCCACGCGTCCACCAATAAGCACCGCTTTTATCGATGCATCGACGGCGATATTAGCCACGCTATATTTCGGCCTTTAATTGAGTCATTTTTATCGATCCTCAGTGCATGCCTCAGTGATCCCTAGAGCGATATTTCAGAATTTATTTGCTTTCGCTCCGAGATGCTCCCCCGTCATTTCTCGAAAACGTAAACGTCCTGACCGATCCGTAAACGGCCGTTTACGCGTCGTTGAATTCTAATTGAATTTCTAATATGACGGATCCAGTTGGGGGAGTATAAGGCCGGATTATTTTCGTTGCCGCCTCTGGCGAGCGTTATTGTCGAGTCGAAGAGGAATATTTTTCTCCCTCCGGGAGTTTCGCATTTCTTATTTTTATCGCGTGGCAAAGCAACCCTCTACCGGGTTCCGTTTACAAGTACGGCTCGCGACGGTGGTGGTACGCCTATTGCGCGGCATTGTTTCAACGCGGCTCTCATTTGAATTGGTATCGGAAGCATGTACGTGACATACCGCGCAAGGAGCTAACTGCGCCCCCGTCGTCGTCAACGTCGTCGTCGTCGTCGTGCTGCGTGCATTTCCCATGCGAATAATGGATGCCAAACATACGCAGAGACGTTATAATGACGTCAACATCTAGAAATGCGCATTCTTCAAACGCGGATGTGCCCTATGGTTTCATGTAGTTCCTGCAAATGTCAAGTATTGTCGAATAACAGAATTCTATTTCCAGATGCGAAGTCTTTGGAATAATATACTTCTCTCCCCCTCCCTCCTCCTCCCCCTCCCCCTCTCTGTCTCTTTGATGTCATATCTCTTTAAGAATGCAATTACATCGTGTGCACACTGGTTGTATTTACCACGCGTTAGTATAACGTATTCATTGTAGTACGTATTTGACATCTTGAACCCCGCTGTCTGGTTATTGCACAATATCACAATATTAATCTTTAATTCCATCGTATACGTTACGACATTCAACAAAGAAATTCTTCCTGGTCTCGAGTCTTAATTTCAAAATTATAGTCGTTAATTCTAAAAATAAGCAGACGAGATTTTGCTTATAATGAAACCTGAACGATACTGAACGTGTTTGATGATGAATATTTCAATATTGTCTCTTGTTACGTAACGTAGATGCGTTCTTGTTCGTATAAAGTGCGAGTAGCGTGGGTGGTGTTTTTGTCCGTAGAAAATTGAACGCCAACACGTTTTAACGGGATAAGACGTTCGCCTGTAAGTACGCGCGAGAGAACTGCAACCGAAGATAAAAAGATACGAGCGAGAGAGAACTACGAAAGAGGGAGAACGCTTTTCTTGAATAAAGAGAAAGAATCTTAAGCATTTTCTCGATGATAACAACATTCTGGGATAAATATCAAGCGAAGAATCTTTGCGATACTTTTGCTGGCGAATTTGTACGACAGAAAAGATTCGCTCCCGATGGCGATTAGAGCGAAAATAGTCTGAAAAATCAATTCCATATTCAGGCTTTCCATTGTGTGTGTGGGCGGGGTATCAGATAAACCCTATTATTCATGAAATTTGAAAATATAATGTTTCGCAGAGAGATCCGTAAAAATAACATCGTGCGTTATGCACGATCCTACTCGGTGTATAATTTTAATGAGCTCTGTTGCAATCCAGCTAGGGTTCTAAATTCTGAATTAAGCAAAAAGGCACGGCAATTACTCACGGTTAATATTTCAACCCTTAATGCGACCTGCCACCCGGCGAAGCGCAGGTATATATGAGAATCGTTTCTCGCTTTTCCATATGGAAGTACGGGATATTAACCGCAGAAACCTAATTAGTTCATTACACGTTCGTTGCGGTTACATCAAGGTCGAGTGAAATATTTTATAAGTTTCGTGATATAATTTGCGCTACTCCTTTCGAGAGATTATTCTCGTTGGGATTTTCCGCTTATTCTCTCATACTTAATGGTATCGTTTGCAGCTAGTCGTTTTCTGGGAAAGGCGTTCTTCCGCGATACAAATGCTTGGTGCAAGAATATTTCAAGCGACGACACTAGTGATTTTTTATTTCTCGCCGCGGCAATTATCTATCCCCTTTCTCACGCGGATAAAAGGAAACTTTGCCAAACCTCTTCTTCTCGCGATCTTGCGTGGCGATCGCCTTTTCCTCGGTTTTTCAAGATCGACCTCTCTCTCGCGGTACTTCGTATTGACAGGCTAACGTGCCTCCATCGGTAGGTAGTGATAACAGCATTATCCTTGCACGGGCTATCGAGTGCGGGGGAAAATTAACTGGCGGTCCAATCTCTGAGTTCTTTTTATATCTACGATGACGTCTGCTCCCGACACGACTGATTCTGCAGAGTGCGACCGATAAAAATCGCGTGAAAATTCATTTGGAATGGATTTGCCGTAGAATCCGCGCGCTCGCAGTAAACGCGATCTCACTTCGGTGCACGCGATTGCCTCTGTCGTGGGTGATATGAATTCATTGGAAGAAATTTTTGTTGGAACACTCTGCATTCGTTGCTGCGTGTCGATTAAGTTCTTTCCGGTCCATTCAATTCCATCGCATTTACGGAAGCTCGTTGCAGCATCGTTTAAAGCTTCGCTTTAATACATTTAATGATCTAGATTCTGGATAAAAGCCTCCGCGCAGTGAAAATCGATCGGAACGATAACCGAGCGGGCTACAATGCCCGTTATTTCTATCACAACGGGCGCAATGCTTACATTCTGGTGGCTCTCTCTCTCTCTCTCTTTCTCTCTCTCTTTCTCTCTCTCTCTCCCCCTTTCCCTCCCCTCCTCTCTCTCTTTCTCTCTCTACTCTTCTCTCTCCCTTCCCCCACTTCCTATTTCCTCCGTGCCGTAGTGTATTGTCGAGGTCTCAGATTCTCGCGCTTGCGATAACGCACATTATCATTTATCGGGAAAATACCGCGCCGTAGCCAATCGAGTGCAATGCTCTATTGGCGTTTCCCGCGGACGAAACGTCACTTGGAAACGGCCCCGTATCGATGTCGCTCGCGGAATGTCAGGCTTCTCGTCGTCGAACAGTCAATAATATGCGTAACATTTGCATTAGCCTCTGGTGTATCGTCGAAAATTAGTTCCCTTGCGATAAATCCATCGGCGTGTGACGTACGCGCCGTTCGCGGTTATCGGCGATTGCCACCGGCACCGATGGACTCTCCCCCTCTGCGTTCTATCCCTGGCATAAAAACGAATTTCACGATTTACGACCCGAGCACCTTCCGATATCACGTAGCATCTGTCGGCGACATCGGCGGATCGAAATTTTTATAGCTCCTCGCGTTTTTTTATCGGCAATTCCGTCTCAAAATGTCTAAATCTTCGAGAAATACAACTGCGTTTTAGGATAGCTCCTGGGGACGTATAAAAAAAGCATTGGATATACAGGGTATATCTCTCGGAGGACGGGTCCTTAATCATTCTAGGCTTCTCACGTTTTTGGATGTCCTCGAATAATGGCCTTTCTTCTGGAGCACAATTGAGAAGAGACGAGCGTGCGCTCCTTCAGCTCGGAGAAAGCAACGTTCTGACTAGCGGTTTTCTGTATATCCTAGCCTTACGGATTTTAGTTCTTTGAAGCAATCATTCGCTTCGCTAAGCAGGACGCGAACTTAGTGTAATCGGCTTTGAGATGGGTTGTTTGGTTTGAAAAGTTGTAAGTCTTTAATCGAGATTTACGAGAATTTAAATCGTCGCTATTGGAATGTTACAAATGCGATCACATTAGTTCTGATGGTATCTATATAGAATTCGCAATTTCTCGTATCAATTTAATCAATTATCTTGAATGAATGGTTCCTTTTTTCAATCAAGAGAATTAATTTTTTTTTCAATCTGACTAGAAAATCGTAGTCGAAATAAGAGATGAAAAGAATAATCGGCCCTGCGGTGATAATGAAAAGAACGGTGAATTATGTATTCCGTTGAGAGTATAATTCTGAATGACGTTCATTCAATAGAAAAGTCGCCTTGAAAAATTAATTTGGCATTTTCAAGCTTGCAGATTGAATTGTCTCCGATATTCCTGCAAAAAACGCTCTTCTTTTATTTCTTCACACTTGCATTTTCTTTATTGAACAATTTGTTATAAGACAACTAAACATATAGTAAATCGTACTATGTATTGTTACGAAAATATTAAACATTTTTCAGCGATATGATATGATAACTTGTAGAATATCAGTAGCAGATTCAGAAAACGAGGGGCGACTTCAAACTTTTCCAATATGCGCGTTTACATCCGCAAAACGCATATCTGTCGACTATAATTCGATCAAGTCGCAAATAAAGAAGTTAAGATTTATTGAACTATATGTAATTGGATCTTGACGACGAAGTTTTACCTTGTCTAATCGCGGGACAGGTGACGCTAGAGCGCAAATGTTTATCTTCCTCGTTTCTCTTGGCTGACTTTCGACGTCAGATTGATCTCTGTCGTTAGCCTGAGGAGACCTGCTTCCGTTTTGCCGTTAACCCTTCACGACGTCATACGTACGACGCACCCACGCCGTACTTATTTCAACGCACACCCGATGCTTCTTTAGATAAACAGGAGGAAATGTATTTTCCTAGAGCCGGACATCGATCTAAGTGAGGTTTCAGCAAGAGCATTCACGCGCTAAAAACGGGAACTCGCTCAAAGCGAGGGGAAGAAAGATGGAGCTCTCGCGCAGGAGTTAGAGAGCCACTATCTTCGGGATTATTGATTGTTTGATATATCTAAGGATCATGACGATGACTCACGCTTAGGCAGGACGATTAGCGTTGATGGATATATCCCTCGTTCGCGATAACATATCTTGTACAATAGCAGGAGGGGGGGGTCCCTAAGCGACATTGCCCTAATATTAACTATTGTGACTTAAGACCGTGCTACCTTTCGCAATTCATTCTCAAGAGCGTGTTATCCCTCCCCTCCCCCCAAAGAGAGAAGAAGAAAGAAAAGAGACTCTTACCGGTCGATGGATATCGCCATCAAAGTGAAGACGCTGGCGCATATCGTCAGAACCGCGATGAACTGGGAGATCTTGCAGTAGAGCGTCCCGAACGGCCAGTGGCTGTTGAGCATATAGGTGTAATTGAAGGTGACGTTCAAGGTCGACACCATGGCGTCCGCGATGCTGAGGTTCACCAGGAAGTAGTTGGTGACGGTGCGCATCCGCCGGTGCGCCAACACGATCCATATCACTATCAGATTACCGCCGGTCGCCACCGTGATCATGCCGGCGAACAGTAGCGTCCAGATCATCTGCCGCCACCACGGGAGCACGAATTGATTCCGCGGCGCCAGAGGCGCCAGATCCGTGTAGTTGGTGCCGTTGTAATAGGTTTCATTGTCGTACCACAGCGTCGTTGTCACGTTCCAGAGGTGAGACGTGGAGTTGTACGTCGTCAAATCGTCGAAGCTCTGCATCACGAATATCGCGGTCTCTTCCGTCGACTTTACGTTGAGCTATACAGACGAGCGACAAGGCCGTCGCTGTTTTTACGCCTCCGTTTGCAATCTTGTGTCTCGCGGTATCTTTCTTATCTCGCGCCTTAAAGAGTGCCGAGACCTCGCAATTTTCGTTCCCACGTTTACGGTTCCGTTATTCGCTTCTCTTCCTCCCTCTCCGAGATGCCCCGAGATTTTGATAACTGTTTTTGATAATCTCTAACACAATTATGACATCGATCGATATCGCCGCGAAGGGACTCGGTGCATCGATCATTCGTCGAATGCGTCCGCACTAATTCATCTCTTTCAAAAGCCGAATACTTTTGAAGTACTTCGGTATCTGCAAAATTTACTTGTCGCTTTACTTGAAGGATAGAAATTCGATGCGGGTAGAAGCAGGGTTATCGTCTTTCAAGGTAAATAACTCACATATTCCTGTCAACCGCGCATACCAGTCGACCAAGTTGGGCGAGCTTTCACGACCATGTCGACGTAGCGCCGAGACTTGCGTTGCACTTGTTTTCGCGCACGTTATAGAAGGGCACGTTATAATCGAGGCATCGTCACAATATTCTAGTTCGCCGCATCGACTTTCCGTCGTCGCAGGATGAATCTCTGAATCGTGGTCAAAGAGCCGAGGAACATCCATCGGTCATACCTCGCGCGCTGCTGTCACTGTGCGCAAATTCCGCTCTACGCTCGCTCGGGGTTACCGATTCTCTCGGGGGTCAATTTTTCATGAAAGCGCGTCGGCTACTAGCGCCAAAAATACGGGCTTTAATCCCGGCGTGTCGCATCGCGTCGAATCACGCGTCGACGAATCGCACTCTTTTTCCGTTCGGTCGGATCTTAATTGGAAAAAATCGCAGCGTGTTGCGTGGGACGAATCGATTTTGGGGACGAGCGCGCACTCCTCGCTATCGCGCGCTGAGAGAATTCACAACCGCTTGATTATGGAAATGGTTAATTTCAGCCCCTTATCGATCACGTCGTAATGACCGTACTTTCATGCGACGGGGGCATTTTATTAATTCCGCCGCGGCGCCGGTGGCAGGCCCGATAGTATTGGCGCGATTACCAAATGCCTTCGCCTATTAAATCGCGGGGTTGTGGTACAGCCTTTGATTCGACGTCCGAGCTCTCCTCCGCTTGCGTTTCATGCACGGGCGCTCCCCGCAGAATCCGATCGCGTCCCAAACCGCCGATCGGTTGCCGCCGAATGAGATTCCATTGTTCCCGCGGCTTATTCGCCGTAGATGAGTGCGCTTTTTTTCAATATTCGAAGCTTTGATATAACTTGTCCTCTTCCGTAGACGTAGTCGTCGCCGCGGCGAATTTTGTATCGGCTTGCCTCTTTTTTGCAAACGAGATCAGGAATCGGTAATGATCATATTAATTTCTCGGTTAGAAGGAAAGACTGACGGTTCTCTGGTCTACAAGAGGAATTTTACGTTTAATTTTTTCGCCGTTACTCCAATCGCGCGTCGTTTAACGATTATTAAAGCATCGTTGATATTTCGTCGTGAAATACGCTCGTCGCTTTACGACGAGGCGGTTTTTGCGCGTTAGCTCCTCGCCCGAGCATCGAGTAGATGAATGCCACCCCTGAAATTTGCGAGCGTGTTCGTTGCCTCGCGTTTTGTCCCCGAAAAAGAAAAGTTCCGCCCGGAGTGTCATGTGACAGGAACTTCTAAGGGAGCCGAGATTTCGCGATGATTTCCGTCAAACTGTCATTCCTGTCTCGCTCGCTCATTACTCAACGCCCTTTTCCGCGACATTGTGTACCGCGCGTCGTAATCAGGTCAGTTAAGCTTTCTTCCACGTCTCACACAAATGGAAAAGTTACGTTCTACGCCGACATTTTACGATTGCTTTACGGCCGATTACGTGGGCGGGGAAGTTTTCGTATCATGTCCGCTAATAAAATCTTCCCAGCAGCAGAAAATCCGTGGTTATACCGTTGACTTTTCCCTCGCCGGATCACGCGCGGTGTAAAAGCACACCTTTCGCTAGCTTCGCGCACTCAATTAAATGTTGACGTCAAAACGTGCCCCAGAACCTGAATCTTCGTTTAAACGTTCAGGGAACTCTCGCAATATCGCTTGCACTTGGTTCACCGTTCGACGTCGCATGACGTCAGTCGTCCGACGCGCTTAGAATTTTAAAATACGTCGGATTCGCACATTTTTCTTCACTACTACGACACCGCCTCGCAATCCTCTCCCGACGTTATTAAAACGGATTGAGAATTTCACCTCGTATTCCGCGCGAACGCTCCCGGAGATCTCCTTAATTTTCAATTGGCTCGAACGTTTTGTAGCACAGCGCGATTGCAGTGTAGATGGAACGAAGTCGTCCGTTCATAGCTGTGAGCTATTTTAAACGAGAGATAAAGGAAAGTGGCGAGAGATAAGTGGCGGATCGCGCCGCTCTTCCAGAAGAAAGTTCCCCGGAACACGTCGGAAGAAAGTTCGTTCCGCGCTCGCGAAATCGATGTGAAAGTTCCTCGAGAATAACGCGTAACTGGTCCTCGGGATGTATAATCCGTGAAACTCGGAGGAAAATCCACTCTTTGAGGAACATCCGAAAGGAAAGTTTCTACAAGAATTGTTGCCGATGAGACGACGGGAAAGTTAGATCCTTCTTCTGCCCTGGCCGACGTCGGAAAAATGCCCCTCATAGGCCGGACATTCTCGTGGAGGGTAAGAATTTACGTCATGGCGTCTATCTCAAGCATGACGGAGGACCTTGGTGGTATTCTTATCCCCCTCGCAAAATTCCACATTCATTCGGAGGGACGTGTCCTTATGCTGACGAATTCCTCCACTGCGGTCTTATCTACGCCTCGACCTGGAAAACACATTACAAAATCGAAATTATTTTTTAAGTTTGAATAAAGCGCTATTTGTGTGAAAGCGGAAACGCGAGAACATGAATTATCGCGCGATTTATCCGCGCTGAGCGGAAAACGCTCGGTCTGTACAGCTGCGGCTTAAAAAGCTTAGGAAATGTGAACGTACGGCGGATGAAATCCATGAAATTTCATCCATCTCATTCGGGATGGTGACAAAAAAGGAAGTATGGCCTGTATGCCGCCCGAGAAGCACGTTTACAGAAGGACGCGGAAGAACGAACGTGCTGATTACGAGCCGTTGAATTTCCCAAAGGAATTTAATTATAAAACCGTACCGGTGTGTGTACACTGCGGCGATCGTCTCGATTAAGATGTCCGAGTTGATTACGGTGAATTTCGTGTACCTTCGGATAATTATTCCATGCGATCATAATATTTTCCTTTCCTCGCAAGCTGTTGTGCTTAATCGATTTCGCATTAAATAAAATCGTCAGCGATTGTCCGGCAGAAAGATTTTATTGGATATCTCTTTCGTAAAACAATACTCTTAAATAACAATCAACTGCATTGTGCCATTTTAGTTTGATATTGCTATATACCTCCACATACATGTATTGCGCAATGTCCGTTTAATTTTCCTTTGTCTAACAGGGGATATCATTTGCTTAATTGCGCCGTAGAACCGTGTTATTCTTTCCATTATTCGCGTTATCTACCGTAAGCTCTTTGCATAACATGCGGGGATATTACCAGGCAGGAAAAATAAAAACAGAGCTATTCCCCTCTTCCGATGGGATAATAACTGATATACGGTAACAATAATTGGTAGTATTTTAAAAGAGTATTTTCCTTATCCTCTTCATCTTTGTCGAGTGCCGAGTGATTTGCGATAACGTTTAAATATCACGAAACGTACGATCTGCACGATGTTAAAATCGAGATTGTTTTCGCTTACAGCACGATACTCCGTGATGGTCTCAAATAAATGTTTGTTCGCATTGTTTGCTCACGAAATGCGCTTTTCTGCACGATACTTGTGGTTCGATCTAACGACGTGATGGCCCCGGTCTGATATTGCATGTCGTTAACATGCGCGTAAGAACGATTGTTGCCGGAACGGTGTCTCGCGGAAATATTTCATGGAACTTGATATGAAAGAACAGCAATTTTCTCGAACGAAGCAGAAAATAATAATCGGCGTCATAAATAGCTTCATTGTCGCAATCGTGGCACACGGAGCCGTAAGATTAAATGCGAAATTATGCGAATGGTAGGACCTTTTTGCCTATATACACGCGTACATTTGAATAACGTCGCGCTATATAAATTGCAACCAAGCCATATCGCCGCTGGCAACAATTACTTGTTCAGGTTGTTATAGCGTAGAATGGAAATCGGAGTTTATGCGGCCTGCCTACAAATGAACAACAGATTAAAGTAACACCGTATCAAAGACACATTGTTATTCGCATTATTGCACGCACCAAATGGACCAAAATACGCAGATTATATATTTTCGTGTGTTTTTTTTTTACATCATACATCCCTTAATTTTCTGTTAATTTGCAGATTATTTATATTCAACGCAAAAACTTGTTTCCCAAAAAATTTGTTTTTTTTTTTGCCTCTCTCGTAACCAATAACTGTTGCATGCCAACTGTTACGCGTGTCTCTGATATTTCATATCCCGCGTAACTCGATATTAATCGGGATTAATTGGATACCGAACGTGTTCTCCATTCGCCCGTTGTCGCATTGTTCACGCAAACCGCTCAATAACGCGGGTAATTCGCCGGAGAGTTCTTAAACTATGCGTGCACCAGGATTACTGCGGTATGTGCCCGCGACTATTCTCCGATTGCACGCGCTGTTCCGCGGTAGGATGAGTAGCGAATGAAATGAAGCAATTAACGCTCGAATATTGTTCCTGAATCTGAAAATAGCTAACGATCGATATAACGCGGGTGGCGGCGAGGCGGAGAGGGAACGTTCGGCGAAGGGCGTCGTGACGTTTGTGGCATTCGTGACGATGTATGTGACTTCATGTTCTCGTAACACTTGCAAACTAGCCGCGAGGAGAGATACCCACTCTCAACTTGAGGCACTCGGTGAATTACTAGCCCGGATTATAACCAAATTGTTCCGCAGACTGTAAAATTGCATTTACGTAATTGCTCTAATTTGCCGGACTATATGTGTCCGCGAGAGTGTAGGTAATTGCAAATTATCTCCTCGTTCTTCACAATAAAAATCTTTCGCATTGTCGTGCGGTATATTCTAAAAATATCGTTTGTAATTATCGCCGTCTCCTTTTGAAATGCACAGTTGTACGACTTGAATTAATCTATTGTACTTTTACGTACAACTTTCGGAACATAGAATTTGAATTGAAAATTTAAACCGAAAAATTAAGTATTAAAAGAACTGGAAAGGAAATCGATTTTGCGTTTTTTTCTTTCCAAAATACGGTTTTCTAAATACGACTCGTCGATATCTTTTCTCATTGTCGATAAAAATTTCATAAATTAAAGTAATATTCTCGAATGCATTGTGTTCGTACGTGTTCGGCGAAAATGCTGTGTCGCGCTAGCGGTCGAAGAATGCAGAATTTATGCGTAGCGCGACGAGATAACGGACGAACGTGTGCGAAAGAATGGCGAGGCGTGAAAATTGAAGGTGCGACTTCCACGCTAGTGTTAAAGCAGGAAGGGAAAATGGGAATGCAGCCGTAGAAAACGAGTGGAATTGCTTCTATATAGGATGTGCTTTGAAGGTGGTACACGCCGGTACGATGCCGTGAAGTATGCAAATTGTGAATCACTCCGGACCGCACAACTGGTTACGCCGCACAGAAAGAGCCTCTTGCTCTTCTTGCGCCGGAAGAGCCAATATTTTGCAATTGGACGAACAAGCGTATCCGTCGTTCTCATGGAATCGACCGTTCAGGAGATACGATCTCGTGGATTTAGAATCTTAGAAGAAGGAAAGCTTTTATCTTGATCGTAATTTTTATCGGGTTCTCAGTGCGAGTTACGTTAAGACGCAGATGAGAACAAATGGAAAATGTGGGATAAGAAAAGATATTAAGAGTAATATATTCTTTTGATGTGAATATTTATTTTTTTTGCACCAGCAATGTTCTATTCTATTTTATAAATTAACTATATAAAAAAACTAAAATATATATATTTTCTTGCACTGTTAAATTTGTAGTTTCAAATTGTATTTAATTTGAGTTATTTTTAATTATTTCTATAGGTCGTCATTGCTCCTACTCAATATGTCGTTAATTTAACTAAACCAATGAAGTTAAAATAATAAATTTCGACACACGTAGCAGTAAAAAATAAAATGTTATTTAACTCAAGGTATTGGTTTAAATTTCATCCTTTAACAGTATACTTTCCAAGTAATCTTTCAATATATATGCGGTCATCGAAAAATAGCAGAAATCTTTCGTTAGAAAAACACTAATGGACAAGTTTCGGGAGTGATCGAGAGTAATAAAGTCCAAAGATAAATCTCGGTTGGTTATTTAACTTCCAAAGACTCTGGCCGGTTTATTTCTTGCTGTCCCTTGAGGTTCGTTCTTCATCCCCTCGTAGTTTTGATATTCCCATTGTTTTCGAAGGACGCTGGACAAGGCCGAAATTTATTCGACGCGTACACAGGGCTTTGGGAGAGTTATCGTTAGAAACGTCGCTGAAACATAGCGCAGTCCTTTTGTAACGTGACACAAAACAAACCGCAAGCTGTCTCAAGTTTCCGCATTCAGTTCCATGTACGCGCCATTTCTATCAAGCTTTCACTAAATTTCTACCAAACCTAGTTACTGCTTCCTTTCGCCATTTTCCTTCACGGAAAAGAACAGCGAACTATACGTATAAATTGAATGCTTTTTCACGATTTATCGCTTAATGTACCGGCTCGCATAAATGCACAAGGTCTAATGAGTAAAAGCCACTTATATTAGCTTGGTGTATACTGATGCTGCAGGCTTAATAATCTTTTAATAGCGAGGATAAGAGAAAGCAAAGCACTCTACCGAGAAAGCACACCTGCCTCGAATGTGATATCGTCATTACCTAATTATAAGAAAAGAGTGCTTTTTGTAGCACAGAAGAAAATATATAATTTGATATAAATATATAATAAAATAATCTCCATCAGAGGATTCTCGTATATATTTTCGCGAGTGTAAATTCGGGAAGGATACATACGTCTCCATAGATAAGTTATAACGTACAGTTGAATTGGCATTTGTTTTATATCGACAGATGCGAACCGCGGAGGTGCGATACCACGAAATCGAAATCCCGGTAAGACAATGCGGGACAATGTAATCAACCGCTCGAAAATACGGCAAACTTACCGTTAACCGGAGTGGCACGCGAGATGTACGGCTATTCTCGCAACACAGCACTAACACTCGGTACCGGGGTTATCCAGAAGTCAGCCGACCGTTTGTTAAACTTTACCTACTCGCACGATATCTCGCAGTTGTGCTCACGACCCGTATATTTGCCTCGTCTTTCTCCCTTTTTCCTTTCCGCTTGCATCTGACTTTAGGTTGTATTCAGCTAGCGCCCACTTTATTACACTCAACAGCGTTTATTTGCACCTCTATAAGATAAAAGTGGCAAATTTAAAAGAATTATAGACTATAGTATCTGGGACAAATTTGTAGGAGATATATTTATGGAATTAAGATTTCGCGGCTGTGTACGTTTTCTTCTGAACGAATAAAATTACAGTTTTGATTGCACAATTCTTTTTTTGCAAATATAATTGCATAACTATCGGTTTTATCACTGTATATATATTTAATGGAGTTACATTTGGATCTATATACGGTCAATTTAGATGGAATAAAAGAATGCCAGCGTAGAACAAATTTACATTCACGTATTCTTTGAATACATATTACTCTTTTGACCTCTTTTCTCATTCCATGCTTTCCTTTGATCGCTCTCATCTACGTCTTGAGTGTCATTAT